GAGAGCCAAGCAGCCAAGCGAGAGCCAAGCGAGAGCCAAGCTTGAGAGCCAAGCTCGAGAGCCAAAGGAGTGAGAAGGGGAGCGAACGAGAAAGAACATAGACCAAATAAACGCGAGTCGGGACAAGTTTGTAAATACTCGAGTATCGGTGCCAAATCCGTATCCGTTGCGTCAGCAATGACGATATCGCCTTTACACCCGCCTTCTTATCGTTTACAACTTTGCCAGTTTGGTCCTCCTCCCTCTGCCCGACCCCCCACAATCGTCTATTTCGGGACGTATTTTACGAGTCCTCAGCGCTAAATAATGAGTTTAGCTAATGGAGTTAAATTTGCTGATAACGAGCCCCGACGTATATTATAGCTTCTCTTTGCTGGACGCGGTCGATCTCTTTTCACTCGTCGATGCTTTCGCTCTTACAACGAAAAGGGAAAAAGCGGCGATTGCAGCGGCGTCGGCGGACCCCGGACTCGAAAGTAATTCTCCTCGCGTCGGAGTGAAATTTTACTCCGTGAGAAATTTTTACGAGAGAACGAAATCGTCGCGCTTACGTGAAATACTGGTTACGTAGCGAGAAAACACTGCGCCGAACTGCCCATTATACGACTGCTGCTGCTGCTGCTCCTACATCTACATCCACATCCACATCCACATCCACATTCACATCTACATCTACATTTACATCTATATCTATATCTACATCTACATCTGCATCTACATCTACAGCTACAGCTACAGCTACAGCTACAGCTACAGCTACAGCTACAGCTATTATTGTTGCTGCCTTGTGTTATTAAATATTCAAGGTTAGGCACGAGGAGGAACAGTTAAAAATCATGTGCCAACCAAGTATCATAAGCGCATATATTTTGTCATTACATAAAGAAAAAAAAAAGCAAAGCCGTCTTCCCTTCTCCCCGTTTACAAGCTCCTTACCACTAACAGCTATTAAATTATTCCTATTTAATTTATGTTACAAACGCGCGCGTGCACTCGTGCCGTAAAACACAAGGGCGATGATTGGTATCCCATATACTTCGCAACTGTCGCTTTTGCCTACAGTGCAATATATTTTATTCAAAGGCTATCGCGGGGAATCACCGATGAGGCCCAGCGAATAAATGAGAAAGGCGGCTGGAAGGAAGGGAGCGGGTTTGGCGCGCGATGTTGGGTGGGGAGGGCGGGGAGGGGGGGGGGATAAAATCCCACACCGCCAAGTGCACTGACTAAATCAATCTTTTATCGTGCGTTCGAAGAGGAATGAATCATTGCGCGCGCGATCAAACGCGCTTGTGCGCAAAAGGAGAAAAAAAAGTTAAAAACCGTTGCGGGCTCCCGTTCATGGCTTTCTAATGCGACGGATAAGAATCGTCGGGAAGGCGCGCGGCCATTCCCAGCACCTTCTCGTTCCTATTATTTCGTCGACGCTCCCGATGTCGCAATATCGCCGTCACTAAATTCCCCGAGCATCGAACGCGGTAAAAGCCAAGAGGAATAACAAGCGCGATGGCGCACGTGCCGCCTAAGTTACGAGCTCGAAGAATGTCGTCGCTCTTTAGTCAGCGCGATTCGCGCTATTTGTCTTGAGCTCTCCTCCCTCCTCCCTCCTCCTTCACCCACCAATCCCCTACCCAACGCCTCACCTTAGCACCGAAAAACAAGAGACAAGACGCGCAAGGCCCCGATACCGATAAGCGCTGGGACAAAGAAAAGAACAGGCGCGCGTGCGCGCGAATCATCTGAACGGTAGGAAGGATGAGTGAGAACCATCATGACAGGTGTAGAGAAGAAGCCAACTTCGTCCTCGTCGATATTATAAGCACATTGGGGATGATCCTGATTTTCCAACGGAATTTCCCCTCTCGTCCCACCACTCTTATCTTTATTCACAACCGACTTTGCTCGTCTTCCTTATTTCTTTCAATTACCTCGTTTTTATCTAGAAAGTTGGATTGGGTTATTCACGATAAAGCCAATGACAATGCAACGTAGCGCTCGTCACGCACACCTTCGTGAAAAATTTCTCCTTGTCTCCGCGCGTTTAACAGTTTATCTGCAGTTGGAGCCCGATAAGCCGACACTGGAGGCTTGAAAACGGTATGATGTAAATTCCAGTTGAGCCGCGGCATTAAGTACTCCTAATAAATAGATAACGTGCATGAGCTCTCGGGCAATATTAACTACTGCCTAACACACATACACATGGAACGTGCAATTTTTGAGATATTGAGAGACAACTTTCGATCCTCTTGTGTATTCGAGGCGTATTTGGCTTCTCGCATCGTTTTACGTTTATTATTGCGATCGTCGCCCTCTCTGTGCAATGTGCCTGGCAATACCTCGGCTCTCTTTCTTCTTTGCTGTTTATCACGAATGTGCGCTCTTGGCTGTCGCGGTCACCGCACGCACACACAACGCGCGCACAACGCACACTTACTCGAGCGTAAATTGAGTCGACGAGACGACGGTGGTGTACACATCGTCGCTCATATTATTTTCATTTTCAGATAAAAGTACGATAGCTATACGTTCGGCCTCTCCTCAAAATATTAAATTAATTAGCGTTTCACGGGAAAATGGTTTATTGTAAATTTAAATTCCGACTCTATCGCGTTTATGATAGCCGATCGAATTGGGCGTCGCGGTATGGAAATTTAAACTTGGAGAACGTCTAGCCGAAATGCGAGCGTTAATCGAACGCAACTTACAAAAGGAAAGGATCGTTACGCTCCGCAACGATATAAACGAAGTCGAGCGTAATGGAAGTGACGACGAGCGGATAATCGTCTGCGTTATAAAATGGAATGGGAAATTAGCTGTCAAATTATACTCACCATATGCTCCTTATTAAATACTTAAATGCTGTAGATTATTCGCCAGCTGATAAGGATTTATGTATGCTGCCTAGTTTGCTCGTCACAATGCGTATATGCGAGTGAAAGAGTGAGACGGATATTACGGATGAATGATGAATTAACAGATATCTATATAAATATATATAGAGATAGATAAAAAGAGATTTCGACAATAATTTTAAATGTATATTTTTTTTTATTAAAGAGCAGTCTGTAGTATCGGCGATGCAAAGCAATCATTCTTTTCGATTGAAAAGCGGCTTCGCTTTGTAACTTGGCGTTGTCGTACAAGAGGCTTTTGAAATCGCTTGTTCGACCGATAGCGCCATGCTTCTCGATAATGACGATTAGTCTTTCTCTTCGGGAAGTACTCGCTTTATGGATTACCATGTCGAATCCCCGATTAAATTCGTATCTCGTAGGCCTCTGCTGCACGTCTCTCTTCCGTTCAATCCCATTATCCCGGGTTTTTTGTTTTCTTTTTTTTTTTTTTCCCCCTCCTATGGTCCAACGACCCAGCGACTCTTCTACTCCAATAGAACACGTCAATGATCCATAATTGATTGTGCTGGTAGAAAAGTAGGAGCGGATCGATAACGACGCGGGCGCCAGCATTAAAGAGTCCATCCTCGGCCGCTTCTCCCCCGGTGAGCTTCCGGTCCATGTAAATGAAGGCATTGTCCGGCCGATGTTGCACGCGACGCTTTTATTAATCGCGAATAATAGGCGAAAGGAGCCGCGATCGCGTACTTCCCAGGCCTCGTCGCTTCATCTACCCCCGCCCCAAGTACAATTTGTATTATATACACGGAGCGCGTACAAGTGCTTTCAACGCATCTCCAGGGAAAAGTGAAGCCCGCACGAACGCGCGAAAAATTTTCCGCGTATACTGAATGGGAAAGCCGAAGAAGATGGACCGAGTCTCCGGTCGGCGAGCGGCGAAAAGTATCTTCGCTGCATGACCGCGTTCGTAGCCGACTGGAGAAAACCGCTGCTCGGCGTTAAGTAAACGCGAGTGCTGTTAAGCATTACAAAGTAATAGTCGAATAGGAGCCGATCGAGCCGCACTAACAGTAAAGTAGCCACATCGAAACTCGACAACCGCGAGTCGACCTCCCCTCCCCCTCCCCCGACATCATCGTCAAAACAGGAGAGGTATTGATTTTTTTGTACGTCTGATTTCAGGCAGCTGCGTGAGGGCACACTCGAGGAGAATCACCTGAAGGATGGCAGTCGGCTGACACTGCTGCCAAGCGTGGAAACCGGATTGCTGGTAAGTGTAGCTTGGTTGCATTACATCGCCTTCGTCACACCCTCGCGCTTACGGGGCTGATACGCCGTAACGAGACAGAAAGACAGAGTGAGACAGTGAGATAAACTGAGACAGAGAGAGAGAGAGAGAGAGAGAGAGAGAGAGAGAGAGTGTGTGTGTGAGTGAGAGCCGCGAGAGCTCTGACGACGAAAGGAGAAGGAGGCTGAAAAAGCAAGCAGCCGGTGAACGGTAGTCCATCCTGCGCGGTTCTGGGGATTACGCGGAACTGTAGAGCCCTGGATTCGAGCGCCCGTTAGACGGTCGCGAGCCACCGAGGAAGTTGGCGCAGCTCGCTCGATATTTACAGGCCCCGATCGCTATCCGCAATAGTGGGTGGGCGGAGGGGCCAAACACACCGGAGCACGAAAACCACGGCTTTTTTTGTGGGTCGACGTACCGTTATCATGGCGAGGCTCACCGGTACATTACCGGCTGGCGCGTTGGCGACGTCCTGGCTTTTTGTTTTTCGGCCGCGCCAGCGAAAACGGGGCCTACACGGCTACGATATCGCGCGCACCTCAGCGCTTTATAAGAATGCAAAACCCGTAGTCATCGTTCCAAGTGCGTGGCACTTGGAATATTTTTCACGGCAAAGTCACAACAGGTGCCGGTTAGCCTCTATTTCGCTTCTACCCCCCCCCCCCCCAACCACCACCCACCACCACATGCCACCGCTTTTTCTACCTCTTTCTCCCTCTTTCTCCCTCTTCATCTATCAGCATAAGTATGTACGTACGTATGTACATTGGTACGCATGTACACACGATGCATTGTGAAATTATATGGTCGGTGCACTCGGCGACGTTGCGCGAAGCTCACGGCTGCGAGTAGCGCATGATGCAACGCGACGGGGCCACCGGTTCGTTCTTTCTTTCCTTTTTTCTTCACCTGGCTCCTTTCTTCCAAGCTTCGCCACATCCTTTTCCGCCGGGATCTCGGCCGTCTCGCCCATAGCCTACTTCATCCATATTATCGGGGGACTCGCGGCCGGACAAAGGCGGCAGCAGGTGTCCACACGGGATTACGCGATCCTGTGCGTGGCTCCTCCTCCTTGCTTGCGGGAACTCCGTTGCAAAGGCGACGACCGGTCGACCGAGGTTGCGGAGTAAGGGGATGGCTGCACTTCAGCGCTCGACCCCTGTGGGATCAGCTGACGGGACCTGGACGCAATACCCGTATGCCGGGCTCTTGCAGCCGGAGTGGTCGTCGTGGTGGTGGTGATGGTGGTGGCGGTTATGCTCGTTGTGCTCGTTGTGCATGTGTGTGAGAGCGCGCGACAGAGGGCGGGGAAGGGGACCAGCAGGGGGACTTCTCACTACGTGTACAAAGGGTTCGTGCCAAAATCCGGCCAAGCTGGCAACAGCGCCCGCTCGCTCGCTCGCTCCTTATCTCCCTCTCACCGTCTCGTTCATCGCTGTCAAGTGTATTTCTCCCCTCGACCCCTCTCTTTCACGGTAGTTGTGTTCCCTCTTTTTCCGATGCTTACCCACCTCTCTCATTCTCTCTCATTCTCTCTCATTCAATCTCATCCTCTCTGTCGTTCGAGCCCTTCTATACTTCCCTACTTACTATCGTTTTTGCCGAGCGCAGCAATTTCCAACTACGTTGGTCGGTGCAGCTAGAGAGTAGACGAGCGAGGGAGCCGCAACTGTCCCGTTTGTTCGTCTGTTCTCTACGTACTCGGTTTCCCCCGTGTATGGCCGTCGATTCTCGGCAACTGAGAGGCCGGTCGCATTGCCAAAAGCCACCAACTTTTTTCTCTCTCATTGGGGCTCCAACCATGGCTGTTGGCATGCAAATTGGCTACAGCTTTCTACTCGCGCCCTTGCCACTGCGCACAGAGCCGATGGCAGGCTGCCGCTCGATCGAGGCTTCCTAATTTCCCATGCCCGACCTTTCCTCGTTCTCCCTACTCGCTCAATCTCTCTCTCTCTCTCTCTCTCTCTCTCTCTCTCTCTCTCTCACTCTCTCACTCTCACTCTGGCATAACCTCTAGCAGAGAGATGCTGCTGTTGCCGCCGTTGCGACGCGCCGATCGCCATTTGCCTGCAGCTAATGCTTCCGCTTACCCCCCTCTCTACTCCCTTTTACTCGTATTCCAGTCGTATTACGTCAATTAATGCGCCTCGTCCGCTCTCTCTCTCTCTCTCTCTCTCTCTCTCATCCCTTTTCCCCTTACACAATTTCTCTCTTTTCGTCTACACCACGGTCGAGAGGTAGTATCCCTTTTCCCCTCACACAATTTCTCTCTTTTCGTCTACACCACGGTCGAGAGGTAGTAAAAGCGCTCGTTGCCATGCAGCCCTTCCGCGTGATTTTCGTACCACGAGGATGTCCTCGTTCTCCTCTCTTTCTCCCTTTCTTCTTTATCCGTTCGCTCCCCCCACCCCCTGACCAATTCCCCTCTCATTCGCTCTTGTTTCCTCTCACTCTCACTCGCTTTTTCGAGCTTCATCCTCTCCGTCTTTTAAGCCAAGCCGCTGCTCGCCCTTTGTTCGAAAAGCAATTGTTTACGGAGCTGCAGCAACAACAACGCCCGCGCCCGTGCAAAAATAACGAGATACGCAATTACGGCGGTGGGGACAGCTCGGGTGTGGGCAGGAAGAAACGATATGCGTGCTGGCGCTTCCAAAAATACCTCACTCAGCGCGTCCTCTATCGAGCACTCGAAATTCGTAAGAATCGGCGTTGTTTCGGCGCCTCTTCCGCAGCGCCGTAATTCCCGGCCGGTCGTTAAAACTGGGTCGCCCCCTTCCTCCTCCTCCTCAACGCATCGAATCCTCTCGCCTCTCGCCTCTCTCCTCTCGCCACCCGACAATTCAATTAACACAATCGACGAAAGGTATTGTTAAAAGCAGTCTCGCAAACGGACGCCGGCAGCGGAGCTTGCGAGCGCGTTTCCTTTAAAAGCCGAGAGCCTTTTCCCCCACGCTCTCTTTACATCGTGCTCTTTGCCTCACGTACTTTGATAAAGTGCGCGAGAACGGCGAGCGAAGTAAGAGAATGACAGGCCGGCCAAGATACAACGAGACCAAAGACGATCTATTTACGCTCGGCTTACTTTTTGCCTCGCCGACGATTATTGTACTCCTCGGTCGCGCCGTCCCGTCGCCGGCTTTCGTGCCACGGCTTGACGCGTAATTATTTTGATTTCGCAACCAAAAAAAAAAAAAAAAAAATAAAATAAATAAAAAGAAGAAAGGAAAGGGACAAAGAAGGGAAAAATCTCGAGGAAAGCCAGGTGGATAACAATAATATGGTGCCAGCTTCCTTATCCATAGTCGCGTTCTCGAGCCGACTGGCGTGATTTTCTCCGACGCCCAAATACTATCAAGGATTATTAAGAGTCGAAGAGA